AATAGATCCGAGTGTAACTTTTACTGGTAGTAGATCTGAGTGTAACTTTCACTAATAGTAGATCTGAGTGTGACTTTCACTGGTAGTAGATTTGAGTGTAACTTTCACTGGTAGGAGAACTGAGTGCAACTTCCACTAATAGTCGATTTGAGTTGTAGTTTGCGTAGTGGAAATAGTGTGTGCCCTGTCTTGGACCGTATTTTCTGCATGTACTGGTGAGCGTTGTTACAGGTGATCGGTATTAACCTTGATATGACTCGGTCACCACGCCCTTGGCACTCTCACGTACAATTAGAGTAGGCAACGCCCAAGATGCAGCAATGCACCTCTTTGTAGTTCATTGAGGACTGCTCGCCCTTCTGGACATTTCGAGTGTGTCTTATTCGTTTTGGCCCTACAAGTCGCATGAATTGTGAAACTCGTTGCCCTTTACTCGCCGAAGTAAATAGTTTCCCCCATGCACACCTTCAGTAGTACAAGCTTTTATCTTCGATAGAATCGCTATTGAATCTGCACTCTTTGTGAACTTCCCAAAACAGTCCTCAAAGGTGACTCTGCCTAGCTTGGAATCGCCTGTCTCTCACCAATTGGGCACGGATGCGATAATCTCTGGACGACCCGTATGGCAATGATAAGATGTGTGGTTAATATTTAGAAGTTAGATTTGGCATATTATTTAAACCCCGAAACTGTAAAGGACTGAGCCATTGGATGCTAGCGAGCGATGTGCGAGATTTTATTCAGCTGTACCACCTCTCTGACCACGCGTGTTGCAGTTTTATGGCCAAGGGTACTGTATTGCACCCAGTACGTGTAGTAGCCATAGCTGTCAGCTGTCGCTTACCAATGCCGGTACAAAGCGCCTCCGCGGGGAGTTGAGTTGCGCACGCCGAATGCAGCAATTTAACTCAGCTTACCCGTGCTGCAACGCAATCTACTGAAGGGGTTCGAATCTCATCTAGCAGCTGAGAAAGGCGACTTGATGTCTCCTGTGTAGTGTGATAGAGGGGTGTCTGTATCTGTCATAGATTCCTGGGAGGATTGGAGTCCACTACTAGTGTAAAACAGATGATTTATCTGATGGGATAAAAGTTAGGGAGTGTAAATCAATTGTGTGCAAATCTTTTTGGTTCGAGTCCAGTTGCAATGCAAGAAACGGAGTGGCTCTCGTTGAGAGTACTGGGCGTAGACCCTCAGTCAAGGCCCCTTTCTGTCGATGGGTGCCTTTACCCTTTCAAAAGTCAGGGATGTCCCTGAGTATATAGTGTAGACGAAGAGACTGACCCTTGGGCGGGTTCGAGTACAGTTTTGTAGATGTGCTTTCTTTTTTCTATACATAAGATGAATAGTTGAAAGGATAAATTCCAAAGTACGAGTAAATGATAATATGTATCACAAGGAGACTGTATTAAAGTCTGCCATACAATAATATTAGAATGTATTTAACGATAGAGATAGAAATATACGGGTGACTACCCACCCCTTACTTGTGTGTTTACGCATGTTCGGGGGAGCTGGGCACCGGGTGATAGACCTGTGCCTTATTTATCTAGCTAAAACCGCTACCCCCTCAAGGAGGATGCAGTCACATAAAGGGCTCAAGGATGGGTCTTTACTCGGGTCCGGTGGTTCGATCCCCTCTTGACATGGTGATCTTGTCTACATACAAAATGTAGATGAAAGAATTTTAGGAGAATTGGGCTGTACGTCCGATAGAGCTACTAGGTTTTATACATAACCCTAGTAATGAGAATACGGTATAAGAATACTATTTCTTCTTTTGCGATCACAATACTAGGTTCTCTGCATAATCCAAGTATGAAGAATTTTTTATAAGAATGCCAATATCTCCTTTGACTATATTAATAACAGGCTGTATATAGTACCGTAATATTAAGGATACAATATAAAGATTTTAAATTTTCCTTTGACTAGCATAATACTAGGTTCTATGCATAGCCCTAGCGATAAGAATAAAGTATCAGGATATAGATTTCTTCTTTGACTACCATAATAAAAGGTTCGATGTGTAACTAGTAGTAAGAAACGATCAAAAGAATAAGTTCTATATATAACCCTAGTATCAATAATGTAGTATTGGGGTACCCTCTAATTCTTTCTTTTTGATTGTCGCAATAACATGTTTTTTATGCAACCCTAGATGAATAAGAATGCAGTATAAGAATATTGATTTCTTATTTTTCTGTTTTCCACCACCGACTCCCGATTCAACTGTAACGGGGTCACCACCCCTCCCCCCCTTTCACTTCCGTCCCTTCTTCGTCACAAAAAGATAATCTTATTTATTTCAAGATGGCAATAAAGAAAAATAATAGGAAGAAGTTAAAGTGACAAAACGGTACGAATACGAGGGGATACCATACTATGTTTGTTACAGTCGATTTTAAGCTACTTCTTTCGAGCCTATAGTCATTTTCCAAAATCAATTGTCCGTAGCAATATACTTGACTATGTCCAGGATCAGCCTTCAACCAATTAAAGGAGAAAATCAGAGCACCAGACATCGTAGAATGATTATAACACATGACTGTTAAGGAACCTCCTAACAGAAATCACGACTAGTGCATATGGCAGTATTTAGACCAGTGGTATCACTCCTATTATAGATGTTGAATATGTTATATTCGAAGCTATAAGCTTGGTTGGACAAATACTCTATTCTAAGTACTGTTTGTGCATCGATTGTTTTTCCTGCCCTACTCACCGCGACCTCAGCGAATGAGTTGACCAAAGAAAATAAATTGCCTAACGGATTAATAATACTGACCTTCTCAATAGAAAGGGAGCCTATTTGGTATAAATTCCGTATCTAACATACAGCTAGCCAAGATGCCACAATCTATACTAATACTCGATACCACCAGGACTTGGATTAAGTTAAAAAAAATTACCCTACTGAACGCCATAGATCACGTGTTAGGGTCGAATTTACATTCTTCCAAGCTAGCTATAGAAGTCTTCATAATTTTCAAGGTCTTTAATGGTGAAATTTGACTCTTTAACATTCGAGCAGAGCTTGTTAAGATATAACTATCAGCTTTTAGTTATAGTTTCAGCAATCTTGATGTTGGTACTATCACTCATCAGTATGCGAGCAGTTGATATTCCAAGTAGATTTTGAGTTTAGTAACAAACTTTCCTCTTGACATGTTCCAATTTCCTTGCTATAAGCCCAAAGGTAATGTGAGCGACTATAGGTCTCAGGCCAGATATATTAACGCAACTCTCGAGAGTAATTTAAGCATCTTGATTAGCTGTCGGGAGTGAGCTAACTCTGATGACTTCTATAAATCAAGAGAGTTTCTTGCTGTAAAATCTGGTCTGAGACCTGTAGTCTCTCATAATGTATGAAATAATGATATACAAAGTCTAGTACCCTACACTCTAACAAGCAGTGCTCACTGGGTTTTTTTAACAATCAATCAATACTAGAGAGTGATTTTCGGTATACTCGCTATATAAAGTAAACGCTGAGAATTTTTAAGCATTTTGTAACACAGTAAACGAGGTAATATAATTGAGGATCGAACATTTGATCCCACTTCCATACCTTTTAATAATAATAAATAGAACTATAAAAGATGCCAAAATCTTAAGGCCTATCGAAGTTTTTAAACGATGCAAGCACTGTATACTCGCAAGTAAAATGAACACTTCTCTTGAGGTCGACTCCTTCAACCAAGATTTATAAGAGAGGCCTGCACTTGTAACGATACAGCTGTATCGTTCTTGATTTATACTTCCTGCTTACGCATGATGTTAAAGGCGTGAACGATATATTAATCGAAACTTTAGTGAACGTGTTTATTTCTTTTGCACTCAGGACTTTGGGTGCGCATCGATTTAGTTATGCGTCAAATTGAGAGATCTTTATTAAGTGGTTTACCAAACTATTAGCTTGATTGTGAAGGCATATAAATAAAACATCGTAGTAGTTTATAGCAAAATCCGTGCGAAGCTCTGATAAAGTATCATTCGAAAGTAACGACATGTTATTCACGATTCTAGCACAATTTTCTTTCATAGTTGCACTACAAAGTAATTCTAACATGAAAAAGCCACGAAATATGTGTTTTCTCGAGAGGGGGGGGCAGTGAGTGGTGTTGACCCTTTCAAGTTGGAGCAACTCACAGACTGCAACCGTCATAACTGATAGGGCACATAGACTATCAGAAGAGGTACTACGACTTGCTCTATATCAATACATAAACATGTATACGACATTCTAATTCAATAAAAATTGCTTTGAAAGTATAATGCTGTGTTGGTAGGCTATTTTGATCTGTGGTAACACTGTTACGTATTGACAAAAGGGATGTTTCATGTGGGTATAATTTTCAGATTTGTTTTGAAATTGGCCGCTATAGGAAAAGTTCGATAATTACAATTTCGTTCGTTGGCAGATTATAACTTCACATCATTCTCACAACGTTGTCCCCACATAAATCCTATGGAGAGCAAGTAATACTTTTAAATTACAGGATTCTCCGATGCAACCACATCCTTGATGAGGTAAGTTTGATTCACGTATATTGCAGTGTTGGCTGACAGCGTTGATCTGAAATAGTACTTTCCCCTACTCATATGCATGTGGCTATGAATTGGACCACAATGGAGATAATTCGACACGCTCAAAATGATTCGTTGGCAGAATAGAAGCGTCACATCATGTTCACGACGTTGTTTTTATAGAACCACCCTGAAGGAGTATATTTCCTTTCCTCAAGATTCCAGTGTTCCGCGACATACCCTATATTGTTTAACAAACCTTAGATGACATCCTACATGAAGAAATTCGGACGTAATGCTTTGATCTGAAGAAATACTCTCTCGTACTCATTTAATATAGAATTTGTCACTCGTGTATAAATGTTACTTATCATACAGCTGGAAACATACAAATTGCTTTGTCGGTTGAAAACAGCGTTAATTTAATGAAGTACTCGTTCGCTCTCACAAGAAGTCCGGCTATTGATTGTAGTTGACAGCTGGTAAATCGGGCTAGGCTGGGTCACAGTAGGTTCAAGTCAAACTTGATATGTCCATCATATAATAAAGCGATTTTGATTCCAAAAGTTAAGTGTGAAGAACGAAATTATTATATAAGAATGGCGCTTTATGTAAAAAAAAAATGGGGTTTGAATATTGTATACTACGAAGCCAGAATAGTTACAATGCCTGAATATAATCTCGCTTCATGTATAGATTGTTGTTTTCGAATACGACAATAGTACACTAAGGATTTGATTAAAAAAGCACGCCACAGAAGACATTACAGCATATCCCAGACTGTATCATAATCTCAAACAATATCACTTGTACTTTAGGCGATATCGAAATGTGCTTGTTTTATATGTCAGGGTTGTTATTCGCCTCAGAAACCAGGTATTTTATGTATATTTCTTATATATAGGATTTAATCAAGGTACGCTTAAACATTGGGAAGTCGCTGTATACCTCGCATTTTGCTTACTTGGCGCATGATGGAAAGCATGGGTTCAGTTGCCGCACCCTAATTGAAAAAATACAATGTCCCACAATGGCGGCTATTTAGTTTTCCTTTGTTGTCCGCGCTGCGGACGATAAAGCACACACGTCTGATTCCTGATATTACCGGACGGTTATTTGTATGGGGTGCATGGAGATACAGTAAATACGAACTAATAGATAGAAAGACCAGAAAACTTAAATTTGTAAAAACTAGAATGGGGGGGTTTTCAGACCGTACGCACCAGGATGGCACCAACAGCTTACCTCACCTGTATCCCCTGGCCCTCGGTTCTTGTCTTCGAAACAATTTTGCCAGATTCAGCCATATTCACACCTGATAAACCTCATATCTTAAATATACATGTATGCGCGATAATGATTCTATTTCTTTTAACACAAAACAAAAATAAATATGTAGTAAAAGGGTGGTTCATGGGCCTAATTCTAGAATGAGGTCCTGTCCTAATCGGCCGTCCCTTAACGTCTAGAACCAGGACACCTAGCTACCTCCTTGGACGCTTTAGTTTCTTCCACGGAAGGGGACACATGGGTCCGGACACCAGTTCCTTTAATACGCCCCTACGTCCCTTCCCTATATATACGAGTCTACTACTAGGGCTACTCTTCAGTTCAAGTACTTCAACCCCTTGAAGTACGTCTGCAAGAAGTAAATTAATAAACGATTAGTTGTCCCGAAGTACCTGTCCTGTATCATCTGCCCTGTACCAGCTAATACAATTATTTTTGACGGACGAGATCTCAAGCTCCGAATTACTCTGGCCAATCAGATTTGGCCTTTGAGAATTCCAATTAGAACTAGCCAGTAGGAAAGAGTCTGAATATCAGCTAATCACCTCTTTTGTTCACCAGATTTCGGAAGCTACTCAAAACATCGACCTTTGGTCCCCTTCAAGGGTCTATGCTGGCGATAAGCATAAGATGTTTCTCCCTTGGTGGGAGCGCTGGCAAGGGTTCACCCACTCCCCAGCTTACCGTAAGATTTCTTCAAAGGACAATGCCCAACAGGATGTTGAGGTCTCTGGGTTCTCAGCCCAGGTGAATTTGCTGATATCTTACCTAAGTGAACGTCTGGTGATGGAGATTCACTTGGAGCCGGACCCCGAAGCCACGGTGACGGATGTGATCCGCCAGCTGATGGCTAGCTATGGCTCTTCTCTCTACCTGCTAACCCGGACCTATTCGCTGGATCTCATCGCGTATGCGAGTCGTCTCCGAGAGGATAACGTCCGCAACCTCAAGGAGAAGTGTGCGTCCCTCAGCGAAGCCTCTAAAGTTGCAGTCAAGGCTGTGATATACCGTTTGGATTTCGAGCTCCATCCCCGTTAAACGCTGCCTGAAGTCCCAGGTTGTGCTGCCCCCAGGATGAGTATGCTTGAAGCCTAAAGCCGCACGGAAGGTATTAATAGCGTACATGCCCCTGTTCCTCTCCTGCCGCCGCCCCGTGTGAGTCATCCGTTTCCGCCAGCCCCTGCCTCTGCCGGAAGGGGTATCCACCCCAGCCGGTTGCAACCCCGCCAACGGGTGTCAAGCCCTCGCCCCCGGGACCTCGGCCCTTTCCGCCCCTCTACACGTGTCCCTCTCGAACGACGTATCGGTCGAATCAAGGACCGCCTGACTCGGGACTCTTACCACGCCTTGAGTACTGCTGAACTTGATGCTTGGCTGACCCTAGTCACAGCATCTCCGGCCGACAAACCACCGCTGGGAGGACTCTTTGTCCGTTCAGAAGACGACCAGTGCTAACCAGGAGGTGTATGACTATTTCGAGTGAAGCCCTATCAACGAAGGGAGGCTACCACGAGAATCCTACGAACGGAAGTACCAGTACGTACGCCGTGCTAAGTGCTATGTACCGATAGCACAGTTCCGTGTCTCGATCTCCGCGGCAGACAAACGGAAGACCAACGACGATCGCCGCCAGCACCGTGAGGAGCAACGTGAGAAGGAGGAGTACCGCCTGCGACTCGATGCCCGAACAGCTGAACAGGTGTACCAACGAGAACATGCCCGCCATAAGGCAGCTGCAAGAGCCGCGCCCCTGCCGTCCTCCCACAGCAAGCCCAGCGGTTGTCCCTGCACCTCAGGAGGTGCCTCGCCCCCAGAAAGTTCCATGGCGAGTGATTTGCGCGGATATCCAGCGTAATGCCAACCAACAGGGTGCGATCATGGATGATGGTATTAAGTGTCATCAAGGATCCGGCGATCCTGACCCCACTCACTAATGTCTGGTCCACGGACTTGGTCTTGCTAACGGAACGACTGCTTGAATTGACAGTTGCGGTCCGCACATTATTACTAATGCATACTCTGGCCTCGGGTTGGAGATTATGTCGAACCACTATGATACGAACGGACTAGTATCTGCCACAGTCCTTGCAGCGAAATATCTGAGCGACTATAAACGTACCCACAGGAATGATATCCCCCTCCGCCAGCCACAATCCACTAACCCTGGACAGATATCCACCTCTAACGCAGGTACGCCACATAGTACGACCCCCAACGAGCGATATCGATCGACATCTGATTCTCTCCCACGAGGCCGCTCTCCGTCAAGGGGCCGCAATGACCGTGGCCGCAGCCGTACGCCTGCGTCCACCCGCGAACAATGCACGAAGTGTGGCCTCCGCCACTGGGGGGCGAATTGCCCGGTCTGTGAGATCTGCCACAAGACCGCCATTTCAGGTACAATTGCACCCAAAACACCACCGTAGCCGCAGCGACCACCAAACAGGAAGGATTGTCGGATGACGAGTGGACAGGGCCAGGCACGAATGCATGGTGCGAGGACTTGGCGGTCCGTATATACAACGACAAGGGAACCCGACCAGTCATGCTGACACGATCATTTGTAATATCACACAACTTTAGCCTACACACAATGGACACCGTCTATATATCGGGCTTTGCGGGTGATGGACGAATGACAATCAACACGCGTACCGAGGTCACCCTCCTGCTGGAGGTGCTGGACCTCGACGGCAAACCAATTACCCTATGGGTACCTGATGATTGCGATGTTTTACTAGGCTTGGAACAGCTGCAAACAGAACGGTTGGGGATTGGATGGGATGAGTCCACATCTCTCCCAACGTTCCGCCTCCAGCTTCCACGCTCCTTGATGATGAATTTCTTAGCTTACAGGCCGCCGGAGATTCTCTACAACCTTGACCGCACCAACCGGGACCCCTACATCCCGGATAGCCCGTTAGATGAATACGATTTTACGGGCCTGGACTATATGGGCCGGATACGCAACATGTCCCCAGCGGAGGTAGACGCCCTACAGTGTAATAGCCGGGCCTCCACACTAGACTCTATGTTATAAACGTACTCTTAAGCAGTACGTAAATTATAAACGTACTCTTAATAGTACAAGGAACTTAAGTTTCCTAAATGGTTTTTAATGGTTTTATTAATTAATACCTTTTCCATTTTACATATCAGATATTTGGACGAGGCCATTAAAAGGCCCCAGTAAAGTACCAAACATAAGATTTGGTATAGTTATATTAATAGAACTATATTTACTTTCCAACTTTATTTATATCTGAATACTTCGGTAGCGAGATGGCTCAACCGAATATAGGTTTCTAGGGACTATTAACGTTACCTAGTTGATCCTCCGATCAGCCAACCAGACGTGCCAGTCTGATGAAGGCTAAGTCGGTAATTCTTGATAAGTGGCAAGTTATTGGTTAAGACAATAACTAAGGACATCAAGAGTATTTTTTAATTTTTTATATCTTTTTTCTAAAGATAGGATTTTATAAGTCTCTCAGATTCGCCCCAACGAAACATACCATAGTTTCTAATAGAGCGACAACGAAACACTAAATAAAATCTCTTCGGCGGAAACAGTACTGAGAGGATTATATATAGGCAATGTCTCAGTCTCACAATCTCTCAGAGTATTGCTGTTTTCACGAGGCATACCTAACTTTACTAAAAGTCTCATCTCGTTTATTTACTTTAATATTTTTACGACACTTAGAATTTACCTACGCGTTTATAAGGCGTTAATATCGCCTTAATAGACCGAATCTTACAGCAGCAGAAGTTCCTCGCGGTCCGAATTGACAAAAGTGTCCCCAAATTCATAAAAGGGGTCATGGTCGACCTGAAGCTCAAGGAAGGAGCCAAGCCGATCCGCAGGGTATATGGCACGAAGGACCCGTTCAAACAGAGAGTCGAAACGCGACTGGTGGACAAGCTTCACAAAGTGGGCCATGTTGAACCGGAGGATCCGTACAGCTTGTGAGTTGCCACATGCCTACTGGCTCGCAAGAATGTGCGCGTCACTTTCACGTTGGATAACCAGTTCCAGTTCACGGTGGACTGGTCCACCACGAATAACCAGCTTTTCAATCTACAAATCACTCTCCCAACCGAGGAGGACATCCTCAATCATGCAAAGGGGGCCATCATATCACCAGCTCATGTTGGCGCCCAGTTGCCGCCACCTCCTGACGTTTTTCACGAGGGATGGACGCTTTCATCAGCCGGCCTGCCTGGTGGAAGGGGTCCAGAATGGCTGTTTTGATATGCAGCACTTCATGACCATCACTTTCCAGGCAATAGTAGCCCTGGTGGCATACCTGGATGACCTGACGATTGTGGCGAAGTTGCGAGTCGACAACACATATATCGGTTCAATCGTTTACCATTGGGATGATGTGGACGACACCCTGGACATCATGATCTCCCGGGATATCCAACTCCAGCCGACGAAGAGTCAGATTATGAAGCTGCCAAAGGAGATAGTACACCTGTTTGGCCGGGATATCCAGGACCATGGATCCCGCATCGACCAACGACGGTTGGAGGATTTCTTGACAGCGCCGGCCCCCAAGGACAGGAAGGAACTTGTTTCCCTTCTGGCGATGCTATCCTGGTAGTCGGGCATGATCCCACAATACGCCCGCATGATGGAGCCCCTAACCCGCTTAACAGAGAAGTATGCAGGCTTTGAGTGGGGCACCGAACAAGTCCTCGCATTGGATACGGCACTTTACTATTTGGCGATGCCTTTTAAGCTGTACAAGCCCCTTCCCGACCAGCAGTTGATCCTGTATTCGGATGCTTTGAATCCTACGCTTTGTTGTGGAAGAAGTTTCTGATGCGTATCTGA